ATTGTGAGTTCCCTAAATTCGGTGCTAAAAACAACTGGCAACCAGTGAAACTGTTTCGGGGAGGAGTAACGTAGGACTTTACATATTGCAACTGGCCAGAATGTGGTAATACAGTGGTAAGAAGTACTACTCACCCCCATATTACCATATTTTGGCCAGCTGCAATTTCCTAATTGCCTTCAAGAATCACCTCATGAAGAAGAGATTGCCATAATCCTGTCTTAAGGTTGCCGGTCCATCGATCACTAAATTCAGATCTCTTTCCTCCAGGTAGTAGGGATATCTCTGCTTTATCAAAGGACCAGCCATCTAATGTGGTTGTCTAGCTGGATTCAGGAGGACTCCTAAGCTACAAACGTAATTCTTAAGGGAGAGTAGCCTCCAGAACAGGCATATCTTCCAAATCCTGAAGCCCAGTCTCTGAAATTAGTAATAGCTCTATCTAATTTGCATTCAGCTTCAATTTATTTTCTCCCAGTCCCTAATGGTCTGGAGATACACAGAAGCCTTGAAAACATCCAACTTGGAGCTTCCAGAAAAGGAGAAATGTAGCTGATTATCATCAGCATATTGGCGGCATTTCATGCCAAACTGTGAAAGTTCTTTCCTATGTGTGTATATGGGAGACAAGACAGAACCTTGAAGGACTCTCCAGAATAGCTGGATTTCTCCCAATGCCACTTTCTGTAGCACCAAATGTAAAACATGCTGAGAAAACCATGAAAAAGCAGCAATAAAGCTGTGAAAATGAGCATTAACTTCCTGCAGGCTGTAAGTGCCCTTCACATGTGCCAGATTATGATTTCTATTCTCTTAGCTAGCACAAAGTGCATATAGCTAGGAATGGTGATAGCTGTAGTTCAACCAGTACGAATGGCACTGGACCAGGGAAGATTACATAGTCTACTGATGGATCCTAGGCTGTCGACCAGACCTACAATTTCAGTCTGATTGGAAAAAAGAAAGCAACTTAAGGCAAACAGCCTGGTGCCCAGCTAGAACATCCAGACAAAGTGGCAGGATTTAACAATTCAATGGTGTACCATATAAGGGCCTGCAAATACCAAGAAGCATCTGACATGGCTCCTTTTGCTGATCTCAGTTAACACAGCTATTCTTTAAAAATGCATTACAGTTGTAAGCAGTCAGATCCAGAAAGAAGGATATCGCTGGAGAATAGAGAAATGCAAACAAAGGCTGAGTCACAGCAGGAAAAGGTAAAACAGTAGGTAGCTGTTTTATTTTATTATTATTTTATTCCTAATAGGAAGTAACTTCCATTTCTATAAGTGGGTGTGTCGGGGAAAGAGACAAGAATTGTTATTGCTTTTTTGTAATACACTAAGAAATTGTGCCTGGTGTGTATACATTTTAGATTTTGGTCAGTAACTCAGGTTGCCAGTATAGGAACACACAAGAGTAAGTTTCACTGAGCAGGGGGTGATTGCTTCTGAAAAGGAAAACATATTGTCAGAAGTTGATAGCAAAAGAAGGACACGCATTTCCTTTTTAGCTATTATAATTAACTTACATATTACGTAACACATAGTACAGTGCCCCCTTTAAATATTACACAACATCTATTGGTTGTGCTGGATCTCTATATAATTTTTAGTACCATTAACTGTAAATGGGTGGAATAGAAGAGGATTTGGTATTACAGTGGCCATGATACTTCTTAGAAGTTGATGCTGAGGTGGTGGTGGCTCTAGACTTGTTGCCAGCAACTGCTGCCCCAGGTGAATCACGTAATCAGTATGCCATCCCCATGATTTTTCAAAATGTGTTTTTTTCCTTGAAATATTATGTCCTACTTAATTTGGTGCCTTAAGTTTGCCTATACAGAAGGGCCATCCCTGTACAGTGGGGTTTCATGTTATGATGTCCCACAAGATTCTATCTTGTCAACCATGAAATGAATGGTTTACATGAAATTTCTGGGACAGATTGTCTGTAGTTGGTGCTACCAACTATGCTGAAAATACCCTTATTCCTTTTGAAATCCAAGGAATCTGTTCAAATTCTACACTAGTATCTAACAGCAGGAATAGACTAATGAGGGTAAACAAATAGAAACTTAATAAGGCAAAACAAAATGTCTTTGTCAGTCCTATGGCTGATCAGTGAATAAAGATTCAGGTCTATTTAATCCAATGATACACCACTTGAATGCTCAGAACACTTGTACACCACTAGCATTTCTAGTCCCCAATCCATCCAAACCTCCAAATCTTATTTTTCAATGGCCTAGTGCAGTGTTTCTTCAACGTTTTTGCTCTCAGGAACCCTTCCTACTTTTAAAAATTATGGAGGAGTCCCAAAGACGTTTTGTTTATACAGGTTATATTTATTAATATTTATTGTATTAAAATTTAAAATTAATGCATTCATAGAATATTTATTTATTGACTCATGCAGAAATAACAATATTAAATCCATTAGCTATTAACATAAATAAAATATTTTTCATGAAAAAAACGTATATTTTTAACAAATAAAAAACTTATGAGAAGAGTGATATTGTTTTAAATTTTTGCAAACATCTTCAATATCTGGCAAATAATTTTGATTTCATGGACCACTGAGAGGGTCTTGGGGGACCCCTAGAGGTCCTCAGAGCACACTTTAAGAAATACTGGCCTAGTGTATTCCATACTGTAGCTATTAGAAGCACTAGAGCAGTTTTTGCAAGAGTCTTCGCCAGGTAAAATCTGCCTCCTGTACATAATCTGGCTGGGAGAGGATGCTGTGGGTACCCATCCTTAGAGTGATTCTTAGCAGCCCCTTCAACTTGGAACAGCTTACTTCCTGAGGTCAGGCTAGCTTCTACCTTTTGAATTGCTCAGAAAATCAGATAAAAACCATTGTCTTCCATAGGGCTTTGGGGAAGTGACTTTTAACTAAAGACACATTTAATTATTTCAATATTTATGGATATTATGGATGCATTAAATGTATGCAACTGTTGTAAGTTGCCCAGAGTTATTTGATTAAGTGGCATACAAGTAACTGTAATAAAGAAAATAATAAATAATAATTTGCAAAACAATTTGAAATTTAGATCAGTCAAACCAGAAAAAAATCAGCTTGGCTACTCCATGGGGACATTAGATGGGAAACCAAGATATGGTGCTACTGTGGGAAAGGAACCAAAGCCCCAGCATCTCAATGTAGAGATCATTTTGAATTTTAGTTTAAGTGTGGCTAGGCATGCATTTGCATAGCTAAAACTGGTGTGCTATTGTGTTCTTTTCTGGAAAGTCAGATACAACTCTGGCAATACCAAAATTTGCTACAGCCTGTTTATCAGTGCAATGTGTTCTATATAGAGATTTCCTTTTCTATTTTAATTATAAGTTTAAGTTTCACCTTGAGCAAGGTGGACATAACTTTAATATAACGTGATTTTTTTTTTAGCAAACAGATTTCAATGAGAATTTGAATGAGATAGAAGCTGTCTGCTCAGCCATGACCAGTAAGTACTTTGCCACATGTAGCAGCATGGATCTGTGTATGTGAAGTGTTCACTTCATGCAGGGTCTATTAACTTCCATGTTACCACAAAGACACCTAGTGTAGCATTTCTGTGTAGTTCACTGATTCAACAAGTTTTTTAAGGTTTACTTTCTAATAAGCCTGCTTAAGGTGTCATACCAGATGAGGGGCATACAGTCAACTGCTGAACCCAGTTGGTTACCCAAAGAGATGTCATATGTAGATGTTAATTTATAGTATACTGTAAACCAATACATAATATGAAATCATCATCATCATCATCATCATCATCATCTTCAAGTCAGTGTTGACTCCTGGTGACTGCCTGGACAAGTCCCTGTAGTTTTCTTGGCAAGATTTTTTTTTGGAAGTGGGTTGCCATTGCCTCCTTCCTAGGGCTGAGAGAGAGTGACTGGCCCAAGGATGCCTGGATGGCTTTGTGTCTAAGGTGGAATCTGAACTCATGGTCTCCTGGTTTGGCTGTTTCTCTGTCAAAAAAAAACAAAAAACCTCTCCCTCCCTCCCTCTCTGTCTTGAATTTACCTACATAGTAACTATATGGGTAAAAAACCATGAGATCAAATCTTATCTACTATGAAGGTTATCAAAATAACAGAAAAATGAGTTGCTTGGGTATATAATAGCTATCTTAACTATCTTCATTAAACATTTTAAGTTTACAGAAATATTTATTTATTCATTTATTTAGGACATTTATATAGCCGCCCATCTTGTACCAAATGCTGGGCGGCTCACAGTATACTCATCCATATTAATATCTACAATTGGTGTTTGAGAATCATTATTGAGGATGTGATGGCTATTTTGTATTTCTCAGACCAATATTTGCTTGCCTGGTCCCTTACTGGGCCTTTCTTCTTTCTGTCAGGTGTCATCTTGCTAAAGGAATTAACTTCTAATGTGCATTTAAACAATAAAAAAAAAGCAAAATATGTAATACAGATATATTCTTGGGGAGCTGGGATCTTTCTTACAACTGCTTCACATATTATACCAGTCAACATATTTAATTGTTTTTAAATTACTATTTACAGACTGAAAACATGAGAGTGGCAAATTCTCAAATTTCATCCACCATTTCACCATTCAGTTATGTAGAATATATAATATATGTAGAACATTATATACAATATGTATGTATGTGACTGGGTGCGTTTGCAACATGGTAATTAAGAGCAAATGTAGCAGACAAGTAAACCCACTCTACATTAACATAGGTTTACTGTAGGCATAGGAGGTCCAACAAGAGGAATAGACAACTAAATGGAAATGTACTGTTGCAAATAACAGATTTACAAATGAATGGAATGCACTGGAGGCATGGATAGGTTAGGTGGCTATACCACTATGCTTTTACAAAACACAACATGCCAAATCAGCGTTATCAAAACAAATGTCTCATTTCTGCTTCTACAGATATTGCTCTGGATGAACATGAATGGCTTCAAAGAAAGCTCTCAAAGGCTTATGATGATTCCAATTTCAGGAAAATATTTTCTTTTGGGGACCACACTCATTTTGCTATTGACTTGAAATTGCTTTATGGGGACATGGCCATTGTCTCCAAGGATATCAATAACCAGCCACTGCAGCAGCTGACATTGCCTCAGATCCTGGAGAGCTTTCATTCCATTACAGTGATAGAAGGAGAAGCAGGTAGTGGGAAGACTGCATTGCTTCGAAAAATAGCAATTCTTTGGGCCTCTGGATGTTGTCCCATACTCAACAGATTCAAGTTAGTTTTTTATTTGTCCCTGAATTCTGGAGAACGTGACCAAAGTCTGGCTGGCCTTATCTGCAGTCAGGTGGTAGGGCTTAGAGGGACCTTAACTGAAGATTCTCTGAGGAACATATGTCAAAGTTTAACTAATGAGGTCTTATTCCTTTTGGATGAGTTTGACAAAATGAATGGGCTTCCCCATGCCATTGAAGATTTGATTCAAAAGAACTATTTGAACAAACACTGTTTGGTTATTACAGTTCGTCCTAACCAAGTTAGAGAAATACGCCAACATGCCAACACTATTTTCAGTATCTTGGAATTTCCATTGAGTAGCACCCTCTATCTGTTAAAGAAACTATTTTCATACAATATTAGGTTTTTAGAAGAGTTTTATTGTCAACTGGCACAAGAAGAAACCATGCATTCCATGTTCAAGACTCCTCTTTTTGTTGTAGCCCTTGGCTCATACTGGGCTCAGTATCCTAATGGCAAAATATTCGCTGGTACTGTCATTTTAAAAGCCTACATGCTGTACAGCTTGTTGAAATATCCCCAAAAGATGGACTGCGTGAGAGCCGTGGTGTCTGCTTGTGGTGAATTAGCCTTACAAGGTCTCTTCAAATCCCTCTTTAACTTCAGTGAGAAAGACCTGTCTGAAGCTGGGGTTAATGGGGAGGAAGCTCTTTGGTTTGGAATGCTGAGCAAGTTTACTGCTCAAAGGCTTCAGCCACTCTACAAATTCTTCCACCTTTCTTTCCAAGAATTTCTTGCCGGACAAAGAATGAGTGAGCTCCTAGCTTCAGATGTGCAGGCAGACAGAGAGAAAGGCCTGGAATACTTGCAGCAAATCAACACATTTGTGAAAATCAGCGGCCGCTACCAGTATATTTTGAGATATGCTTGTAGTGAACCATCCAAAGCGGTACCCATAATAATTTCCCACCTACTGAATTTACCCAGTTGCAAAAAGTCATTTGAAAGCCACTCAGATAATGACATTTATCTGCAGCAAACTCCAAAACTTAATTTAATGCAATACCAGTATATCAGTGCTGCCTTTGATTTGATTCCAGAATTATATCTCTCAAAATTCACTGAAACTGTCCTGACATTTGCTACTGAGTTAGCCTATCAAAGCAATATGGTTTCCAGTTGTGCACCTATGATTTTAGAGTTCCTGACTGGGAAAGAGGTTTGTTTATCTTTGTTTGCATCTAAAGATAGATTCATCCATCAGTTATGTCTGGATTATCCAGAAAGTTTGTTCTTACCAAGTAGATTTGAGGAAAGTCTTTCTGGCAAAAAGGAATATGTTGATATGTCTCCACTGGAAAGTGCTTGTTTCAAACTGAATGCTCCAGTTGTTGAACCAATATACACTCATGCTTTTAAACTCTCCAGTAATGTGACCCAGCAGATAAAAGAAGACACAGATGTTATTAATAGTGTTAAGACCCTTTTCCCCAGGATGATTCCAGATTCCATCATAACTCCATTTCTCCATGTGAAAGGCTGTGAGAAGATTCCATATTTGAAATTTGACATCAGTTGTATGACTTCCCTTGAGGCTCCTGATATTCAGAATTTAAAACGGCTCTTCTCATTTTTTGATAATATTGAACTCAGTTTGTACAATTGCAAAGGCTTCCTTGAAAGTATCAGACCAGCTATTGAAGAGAACCTGAAGTCTTTTAAAACCTTCAGCATACATAGTACTGAGCTGAATATGCTGGAAGAAAATCTGCTTCTTTCAATGTCTTCACTTGAATCCCTTGATTTTCACTGGAACACTTCAGTACCAGGTATTTCTATCTATTTTGCTTTTAGTTTATCATTGCAACATTCATTATTGCTGGATCTTCCAGGATTAAAGGTGCCCGTTACAAAAATACTTTTTCAAAAATAAAACTAAGGACGTGCTGGATGATTAGGAGCAACATAAGTGGTGGCCGGTTCCCGAGTGAAGGGTGGTGGTGGTGGTGGGAAAGGACTGCTATTGGTTTTGTTCGATTCAAGAACTTCCTTAACCACAGGTATCATTAGGACTGGTCAAGCATCTCAAACCAACTTGCACTATCTAAAACACACTGAAGACTCTCTTCACAGTAAGCACGCATAGGATTTCACGGTAAATCCAACTAATGTAACTTACATGTTCATTAATGAACAAATAAATGAATTAATTATCTGTTTGCCTTATATGTTTCAGAAACTCTCTTTGCAAATTTGGACAAATACACATTTTTGAAGGAACTCTCATTGAATCTATCTAACTGCCATAATGTATTTGATACAATCCCAGAGGGGTTCAAAAATCTTCATCACATTGAGAAATTGCTCATCGACCATGTTCAGTTTAAAACAAGTTCTCCCCGGCTAGGTAAGTGTTAAATGTATAAAATTCAAGAGTACACCTGGCTGCATATGGAAGAAAAACTGGGTAGTTTAATGCTTTTATCTTTTTTTTCCTAAGATAACGTAACTATTTTAAAGTCCCTCTTTTAAGTTATAGTAGAACTGAAAATTCTTGTGCCTGTTTCTGGGTGTAATAGGTGAGAAATCCAATCCAGAGGACTCATAGGTGGGATGGAGAACCTTTTTGGGGAAGGAGGATTCGCTTTTCTTTAAAAAAAATAAAGGGGGCTTCAGGCAACCACAACCATGTGATAGTGATGTAAGTGTGTCACTAAAGGCAGTAGCATCCAGTTGTATATTGTATTGTTTTAAATTGTTTAATACTGTACACCACTCTGAGTTGTGATGGAGTTAGGAAGTCTATACCAGTGTTTCTCAACCTTGACAATTTCAAGACATGCGGACTTCAACTCCCAGAATTCCCCAGCCAGCATGCAAGTTGGGGAATTCTGGGAGTTGAAGTCCACATGTCTTAAAGTTGCTAAGGCTGAGAAACACTCGTCTATATATTTAATAAACAAACAAATAAATAGACCAGCCAATCAATCAATCTAGGGAAAATGCTGACTGCAGCATTGTGATCCAACCCCATCACCTTTATGCATGCCTTGGTGTTGCATGACATACAAATGGGCGGAGCCTCAAGCAGGATGTTGCAGCTGCCATTTTGTTGTTTTGACCCCCCTCCCAGCGGAGACCCCTGATTAGAGGGAATTGGATTAAAACACTTAAAAGCAATATGAGAATTTCAAGAAAGTCAGTGTGTTTAATCCTTAAATTTTATTTTTAAACACAATAGTCATACTGGCAGCAGCACAATCTTTAGGAGATCATATTGACACAAATTGGCTGGAGCTCCAACTATGAAAATTGCAATTCATGTCAAGAGGAACTAGGTGAAAATGAAACTGGCAGATTTGTTCATGCTTAGGGCAAAAAGGAATAGAAGTGGAATATATGCTTATGTAAAACAGATTCTTAACTAACATGAAGTAAATCTAT